GGCTGGGCGATTGAAAAGCAAATTTTAAGGGTGAAAAATAATGTTAAACTCCGTTGAATGTACATGTCAGCTTATAATTTGTCAATTGATGGTTGCCATACCAACTTAAGGAATTTAGCTGAAGTCTCTTTGTCAATACAAATATTCAGTTAATCCCATGTGGTCCAAATTCTTTTGATGAACTAAGTAACCCTGAAATTGTAATTTTACTCTTGATGTTGATATTGTTTTTCTGAAAAATTGCAAATTTCCAAGGGATAACTATTCTTGTTTGAAGACCTGTCACTTAGGCATGGAATCTTGCTAGTACACATTTGTGTTCACCACCAGGTTTTAGGATAGGAACAGAAACCAATTGCCTATTCTCACATCTTCACCCTTGTTGATTTTAAGAGAATTACAGCATAGCCCTTGCAACTAAGATTCATTTTTTTTCAAGTCTATCTTTTAAAATGAGTGTCATTCTCTTTTGACACTTTCTATTTTCATCTTTAAACCAAACTGTTAGTGGCATGTGAAACTTAACCATACATTAGTTGGAAATGTTTAAGGGGTGAACATAATACATGTGTGGACGATAATAATATAGGGTCTGAAATAGCAAGCAGCTGGTTGTCTACGTGACTGAAAATTGACAGAGAATGATCAGAATTTTAATGTTAGTTGCCAGTACGTGACTAACTCAAAGACCGGCTATTGTTCCTGTAGACGACAGATCAAGAAATTAAAATGCCCATCACTTTTTTTAAGTGGTACCTTATTTACTCAATTTACTCAATTTACTCAGTTGTTTGATCATCCACGAGTTTGAATGTGTTTAAAGCAAACAAAACATCTTCAAAACTCTGCATTTCTGTATTTTTACTTAGAAACCAGAGTTGTAAATTGTATAAAGGACCAAACTAATTCATTTGGTGATTGGATTAAAAAGGTGTAATTATAACTCGGCACGGGCTATATTAATAACTTTTGCTATCATTGATCAGGATTTTTTTTTTACCTCTAGAAATCTGTCTTCATAAAGAAGCACACTCATGGAGTGTCAAGACCCAGACCAGTTAGAGTAAGGGTAAGTTCAAACATCAGTATTTAAATTCTCAATACTTCTCTGTATGCATTTCCTATTGTATATACAAAGAGTTTGTCCAACGACCAACAGTTTTTTGCGTTTGCTATCATGTCCTTTATTCTCATGACCTTAATATTTGATTTAAGGGGATACAATTGGGAGAAGTTTGATGCTTGTCACTTCTAGAGCTTAAAGGGTTAGCTGAACAAACTGTTCAGCCTCCAGTGCTCCTGTGAGGTTATTCAAACAAGATGCCAGGTTACATCTTTACAGCTGTAATTTGGCACAGAAGGGGTACTTATGGTATTATGTACTGTTTACATGATTTGATGCAAACACTTGATCAGTTTCAAAGGAAGTTGAACTCACCTTAAATCAAAGTTATTTTTAACTTGTGTTGATATAAAATGTAAATTAAGCCTTTAACTCCCATGAGTGAACAATACAGAATTTCCCCTTACAATAGCTATACGATATCAACCAGATAAGTGATGAGAATAAAGAAAAAGATCAATTTGGGGATAATCAGTTGATCCAATACTAAATTCCCTGAACTAACATTATAAGAATTGTATAGTTGATAGTAGGGAGAATTACAAATTTGATCTGGGAGTTTAAGGGTTAAGTATGATGCCATAAAAAAGCATGAAAATCTTGTTTTAAATTTTAGGCAGATACTGCCGGAAAGATGAGTGGTTTTGATATAGGAAATAAAAGATATATATACAATAGTGTTGTTCCTGTATTGTGATAAACTGTAATTTCCTAAGATGCTAACAAGGAAAATTAGTTTGATTTGTGCCTGAAAGTGTGATTCAGAGGTTTCAGTGGAAAGTGAAATTAGATGTTATTTAAGCTTAGCAGCCAAAGGGTTTATTGAAACTTCAAGTGAAAGAAAGGAGAAGTATTTATTACAGTCACCCTCACTTACATTAGCCATGTGATTGTTCATTAACACTGTAACACTGTATTGTTATGCCTTAAAATTTCAGGGCATTCCAAGTGCAAGACATAGTCGCATCTATGATCCAGCAGTACTGTCCTTTAAGCCTATACAGATGAACCCATCATTTAGTCTTGCACCTGTTGAAGAACCTGGCTTTGCCTATTAAAATGCCTAAGCTGACCTCTTGGTGAGATTTTGTGGCAGAGCACTGCGTGATTAACACAGATGTGGATGCGTGTAGTTTTTGAGTTTTCATGTGTTTTGTGCAGCTCTTCAACATAACTGAATCATTTTGATGCAGCTAGAGAGTCTTGTGTGTCTCATCGCCTCTCCTTTGTTCACCACTGACTACTTGCAGTTTGTACAAGTTGGGGATCTTGAGGTTAAAGATATTCATTTATCAAAGTGTTGATGTTGGGATTTTTTTTAATCATCATAAAGACAAAAAAAAAATTCAATGCCCATGTTTTCAGGGCTCATCATTAGACATTACTCCATTATTTGGAGCATTTAGATAAATATAATTTTAAAGACATGTATAAATTCAGGTTTCCACTTAGTAGTTGTCATTTAACAGTCACTAAAATCTGTCCAGGGTGATATCAAAAGAGAAAAAGGGTATGAACAGAGCCTTTAAAAATTACCCTTATTATTGCTACACTGCAAATTCAGGTTTGCTAGGAATTTACCTTTTCCTGTGTAAATCTGCTTGATTTTCTTTCACTGAAATAAGCAGTTGTAAACATGCCTTTTTTTTTTCTTTGTTGTTATTCTTCCCACCAAAACTTTAAAAAAAGATCTTTGTGAATTTTTCAAACACATCTTCAAACTACTTAAAATCTATTTTAACCGGCAGAAATTTGATGAGGAGCACTGTGAATATCTCCCAAGATTAAATTTACAATTCCTGGTAGTAAGGTTTTGAGATTTTAACAGCTGGTCATCGTAAGAGTATCTCCTGAAAACTTAAAAATTGCTTGCTTTTGCTGAAAGTAACTCAGCACACAGCTGGTTAGGGGTTTTGTTGTTATGTCAAAGGAAGGAAGCAGGCTTCTTTCTCCTTCTGTGAGGGAATTTGAAAACATCAACCTACTTAGACCAGTTGTAATACTTGTACAATACTAGTTACAATTACCAAAAAATTTATTGATTGTTCACACTTAGATACAAGTGGAAAAGGTTGATTTTTTCCTTTCACAAAAGGAAATTGCATAACAAAGAAGACATCATTAGATCATTTGCTAGGATGATAAGATTAGGAAAGAGAGAGTTGCTTGGAGACAGAAATGAATATGTCAAGTGTAAATTTCAGTTAATTCCGAGCAGTTAGTATCATGAGCATAAAAACTAAGCTGGGTATCATAAGGGGGCAGGTCCACTAGGACCTTTAGAAAGGTTGGAATTTATCTTTCATATTCTTAACATGTTGATTGAGCTTTCTTGATTACAAAGCTTGGAGAGTCATCTCTTCTTACTGAACCAGTATTATGTCTTTATAATTTTCTGTACCTATTCAGGCACGTGAACATGAGTGATTATTCAAACAGTATTTTGTAGTGTTACTTACACATTTTATTTTTAATGTATGATTTCTGTGAAAGTCTGATCAAACAGCCAGTATTCTAATATGATAACCAACAAATATCCACTTGCGTAGAAATGCCATTGTATACCAGAACAGGTGATTTTCCTGGAATTCTAGAAGAAAATTTTTCTTGCAAGTAACTTTGGGCAATCCATGTGGTGTTGTTAAGTAAACATTTATTCTGTGTAGGTACCACAGCACTAAAAAGGTGGTTTTGTTTACACAATTGTTTTAGACCTTGAGAAGTGGGATGTCAGAGTGTTTTGGAAGTGCTAACATTTTTTGAGTGGTAGAGGACACCAATGGCTTTCTCACTAACAACATCAACATCCTTAGCATATCTTTATGCAACTGGGTTTTTTTTTTTTTTGGCAAATTATGCATTTTTCTTACTTGAAGTTTTTCTTTTTTCTGTGATTGCATTTTCTTTTTTGTTCTATTCTTGATTCAAATTCGTTGCCCCTTGATTTCAGACACAATATTGAACAAAACATATCCAAACCTATGAAAAGGTATGGTTTAACTGTGATTTAAAATGAACCTCAACCAAAACATTCCTAGTGATGATTTTATTTGTGTATTTTCCTGTGATAGCTGTTCAAACTTGGGTGTGTTGTGAAAAAGCCATAATTGGTTTGAGACTGAGCTTTGTCATTCAATGGGTAGTTTGTTTAACTGTACACTAAATATTTATCTAGTTAAGTATATTTATACAGATGTTTGTACATATGTATTTTATAATTATGAAAGAGTTTGTCTGCAAATATGTGAGAGAGTTTGAAACTTAGAAAGAGTATTTATTCAGACAGAGACAAGCGTTGTAGAACTTTATACAACACATAGTTCAAGGCAAGTGTGTGGTTTGTTTGCCTCAAACTTTAATAAAAATGTGTTTTTAATTACTGTGGTTTCACTCCACTTTGGTTATGACCACCAGTGAGGTTGCACAGGTGATGTTCAGTTCACCCTCCTCCCAAAACTCCTCCAAAGACTTCCCCAGGTTGTGGCAAGGGAAAATTTTTCCACCAGTATTAAATCATTTACTGCTTGTATTTCCTTATTCCTCTTTCTGTCCAAAATTACTTAAATGTGAATCTATTTCAGGTGAAGTACTTTCATTGGAAGCTAAATATTCTAGAAGGCTTTGTTTCAGTAATACCAAGAACACTGTTAAAAGAAGGCAACATGGATAGTTTGATATTCTTAACCTCTTAATTTCTTTAAGTGACCGAGACAGAATTTCTCCATACAATATCCATACAATATCAAGCATAAAGGTGATGAGATTAAAGGAAAACATCAATTAGGGGGTTATGAGTTGATCCACTACCAAATTCTTAGAACTAACTTCAAAGAGACTTTGGGAGTAAGAGGGTTAACTTCATAATCATTACATCAACTTCATTTCGAAATTTTGTATTGTAACACGCTGTTATTATTATACCGATATCACAAACAGAGTTTAAAAAATCTTGGTCGTCCCGTAGAAGCACTTCATTCAAAAGCATTTCACAATATGGTTTTAAGTCAACCCCAGAAAAACACACTCTACATTCTTTAAAACTTGAACTCATAAATATCAATGTTGATTTTATCGTTTCTTCCTTTTTAAAGGAGCAGGTTTGGCTTTAATGTCCTTGCATTTTGGTATGTGTCTCTCTGCAGCAGCAGCATTAAACTTTCTCTCACAGTGTGGGCACTTTACATAGTCTGGGTTTTCTGCAGGTGGAGGAGGTGTGTCGCTTGCTCCCTTAGCATAACGGATTGCTTTGATGAAATTTTCATGTTGAGCTCTCCAGTCTACCTTGGGCTGAAATTAAAAATGAAATTTACTTTTGAAGTTATCAGACGGGGAAGTTAAAAAAAATTTTAGTTCCCAAATTGTTGCCATAAAAATTGTCTGTTTGTTTGGCTCTGGTAGATAAACACACATATTATATTTGAGGGGTTGTTGGAAATTTTTTTTGGGTGGGGGGGGGGTTTGAGAGGGAATTAGTCTTCAAAATTAATTCATATAAATTTTTTTTGCAAATTTTCAGAGGTATAGAAGCAAAAGGAGTCAGCAGAAGGGCTTGTATCCCTGGGACAAATACACATAATAAACCAAACTGGAGCAACAGAAGACTTTGATGCTAAATAAATTTTCTTAGAAAGATATACTCCTGCCTCAAAACACCCCCTGAAAGTCCAATACTTATCCTAGCTTCATGCATGATTCAATTATGTATTTTGAATTCTGCCATCTAGCAAAAGTTATTATTGTGGACTTGTGCAACAGACTTTGCCAAAAAGGAGGGGTTGCTTAAAGCCTACTATTAGCAGGCACATTCAGAAACTTTTTCTAAACAAGGTGACCCTGGATTTCTATGCAAAGATCTCTTGAAACCTCTATGAATTTCATGCTTCACTCCTCTGATAGATTCTCTTGAGGGAAAATTGCCTGACATTCCAAAAGAATAGGTGGGAAGGATGAGTAAGCAGACACCAACCTTTGCCTTGGGCTCCTCAAGATATTTTCCACTCTGAACATATTTTTCATGTTCAGTACCCTCACTGCGATGCTTTCTTGTGTCAAAAACTTTGCGTTTGGACTTTGAACTTTTTGCACAAATTTTTACATGCTTGGCCAACCTGTCTACAGCAAACTTGCGCCCACAAATTGAACAAGGAGAAACATCCACGGAAACCTCACCAACATCTTGTGTTTGATGCTCATAAAAATCTCTGTAAGCATTGTCATGAATTTTTTCAGTTGTGTCAAGTTCTTCTCCCTGGAGTTGTTGAGGGGGAGTTTTCACCTTTCGTGGTACCTTGGGCAATGTTGAAGCCTTTTTTAAGGCTACCTTTTTGGTCTGATTAGAATCTTCGGCCAAAGTTTGCTGAGGAATGATTGCCTGCTCCTCTAAGCTCTGCTTTTCAGCTAACCATTTTTCATCCTCCTCTTTTTGTCGTATCTCTTGTTCTACCAGTTCTTCCCTCTGCAACTTTAATTTTTCAAGCCTAAGTTGTTCTTCCTGTATTTGTTTGAGTAGTTCATTTTCTCTCTGGGAGAGAGACAACTCTGATTTCTGCTTGTATTTTTCTAGCCTTTCTATTCGTTCTTGATCCTGTTCCATTTGCCATTTTTGAAAGTCGGTTAATTTGGCATTTTCCTGAGTTTTATTTGTGTCAATTAACTGTTGCTTGCTTAGTTGTCTTTGTTTCAGTGCCTTCGCTTTTAGTTTGCTCAGATTTGGAGCTATGTTGCTATAATCAGTAAGGGTGCTTTGTGCATCATCAAAATCACTTACTAAGTCTTCTGCACTTGGGGGAGGCAAGGGAACCTTTGAACGCTTTGGTCGTCTCTCAATAGGAGGTATTGGCAAATTAGATGGGCCAGAATACTCAAAAGCCTCCACATCATCCTGTTTCAAAACAGAATGTGTTTCGTATCTTTTATTTGGAGTTGGTGGTTTTCTCCTTGTTACTTCAGACTGACCCTTGTTCACTGGAGGAAGAGGATCTTGTTTATCAACACCTTTTGTTCTCTTACGCACAGTGACACCAACTGTCTTTGTTTGAGTCCTTGATGAGTATTTTGTTGGCAATGGTTTTTGTAATGGGAATGGTTCCTGTTTCACACTGAATGGCTTACCATGTGTCAGATTTGTTTTTGAATTGTGTCTACTTCTAACTGTGTGTTCAGGAAATGGCTCCTGTTTTTTATCTCTCACCATTCTGAAATGTGACTCAATAGGGGGAAGAAGTTCAGGATTTTTCTGCCCTTTTCTTGTAGCCTCCAGTGCTCTTCTCTCTGCAAAAAATCCACGTACCATTCCGCCATTACTGCTACCCTGATTGTGACCATTCTCCTGTTGAATAATTTGCAGTCTACGAATCTTCTCTTCTCTCTCAATTTGAAGTTTCTTGCTGTAATCACTTCGGAGCAATTCCAACCGTGATAACCTCTTCTTTGGAGAACCTTTCTTGTGACTCATGGTGTAGTCCACTTGCTCTCTGTTAGCTGAAACTGACTTCATTGCATCAGGGATGTGGGATGAAAGCTCTGGATTACCCTCATGATAGTTATATTGATGCAATGGCCATGTTGGGGAGCTATCATAAAGTGTCTGGGCCATCAAGCTCCTGTTAGATGGGTCTCGGAAGGATTGAATTTAGGGTCTTCAGGCCCTATATCAAAGAGAAAAATGATTTTCTCAGCATGCAAGTAAATGGTAAATAGAAGAATGCTTACGCGTTTTTGCAAGTTTTTGTGTTTAGTCAGCGAAACTTTAAGGGCATTGCATCAAGTATACACCGATGATCATTTTGCAATTGTAAATGTTTGGCAGAAACAACTTACGGTCATTGGGACAACGTTGACTAAATGTTAAGTAAATAAGTCCATTCAACGCTCTTTTGATCACGTTGCTTTTAGAAGTGTTAAATACGCGCTAGCCCAGCAATCAAATTGCAAAATATTGCCTGATAGAAATAGAAATACCTTGTACAGACTTTGTACATGCAGTTTGTACAAGTCTCCATGGAGACCTATTACCTGAAAAGATCTTATCAAAACTTCAATGTCAATTACTTTTTTGTCTTCACGTAAACATGGCGCGTGTCAACAACCTAATTCCCGCCGAGTTGATCAAAAGACATTCATCTGACATTATGAAGTGTTCCTTTGGTGATTATTTTCAATACTTTGATTTAAGATTACTTCCTTTTAAAGACACGGATAAAAGCAGAGACGGAAACACCACTGAAACAAGTTTAGGTGGAGATGTATTTCTGTTTTACATTTCTAATCATCTCTTTATCAATTCGAAAAAACGTGCTTACAAATCTTTCAGTTCAATGAATGTGTGTATGTTGATTAGGCGATTGCAATCAAATATTTCAAATTTACACTTTTTGTCTGCCAGAGATTCATTTAAACGAGAAAAGGATTAGCGTGTTTTACAAATTTGTAAACCAAAGTTTTTGATCAAGGAGACATACTATGAGAATCTAACGAACAAATCATCAAATACTTTCAGAAACATATATCAAAGCTTATATTTGGTACGTGCCCATCGATCGTGATTTGGAGCTGTGAAACTGCTCTGAGTCTTGAAAAAAATCTATGCTTGAAGGAACGCAAGTGTCCCTTTTAATTTTTCTTACGATCCTGATGAGGTTTGAAGTTTTATTAGCGGCAAGCTTACAAAAAGACAGCTAATTGCTTGTTATACTCGCTTAAAACTTCTGTGTCTGAAAGAAAAGGTACATTTGATCACTAATATCGATTCGAGAGATCAGAGAAGAAAAATACACTTTTTTCATTTTCATTCAGTCAGAATACGCATTGAAATGAAAAACGAAATACTTACCTGCGTACGTAAATTGTCCTGCTTGCTTGTGGCTTCGAGGTAGTAAGAGGGTTTTCTTAACATTGTGATGGCAAGTTTCATTATTCTTACATCTTCAGTAAATAATTTTTACACGCTATTGGTGTTGCTATGTAAATAAAGTCCTCGTTGCTAGTAATCAACTTACGAGCCTCCGTTTCCTAGCGACCAATAGAACCCAGCTTTCCTCGACATTTAATTTCAACATGGCGGCCGCTTCGCCTAAAAGGGTTAAGTCTCCTAAAACTCCCAAAACGCCATCCAAGAAGACAAGTATTTCAAATTCACCATCTCCAAGATCATCTCCCAGTAGAAACCTGTCAGATGTTGCTAGAAAGGTTAGAGATTGTTGTGCCAGGTGGCATGAAAACGCTAAAAATTGGTCAAAACTGAAGGAAGCGGGATTGTCTCTGGCTAACAAGCTGGTGAACTTACAACTTCAAAAAGAGTATGTGACATCAAGTTTTTTACAACTTATGTAAACTTCTGTCATTTACTTGCCTAAATTTCGATCGATTTACTTATGGCGACTGCTGGGAATTTTTGGGTTAATAGATACAGCTCGATGGACGACAACACTACAGTTTCACCAGTTGACCACGACTCTGATTTTAAGTTACATGATGAAATTATGAACACCTCTCAAGAACTATCACGAATTTATGATTCTTTGGTAAGTAAAATTAAAAAAAAAATAATGAGGCGTTAGTTGTTGAATGTCATCACAAGTTTTAAATACCCTTGATCCGAGAATAGTCCATCTGGCCCATTTGACAACTATTAGCAGCCAAGTTCAGTGGATTTGATAAGAACCACAGATAAATAAGTTGGTTGATGGGTGGCCGATAGTCATTAACACACTACTGATAATCAGACAATGTCTTGAAAGACATTTCTGCCACATGGGATAAAATTATCATCAGATGATACTGGCTCAGCCCAGTCTCTAACCATGGGTGTTTTTGTGAGCCCAAAGGGGATGACACATGCACCAAAACACCCCACAGCTGTAGATTGAGCCTTGACATAGGGTTACTATCAATGGAGTGTCATCTACCATCAGATGCCTATGGGTCAACCATCAGGTGAATTCTGGTCAACTGTGATCAAATGAGTTCTGCCTAATGCATTGAATGAAGCTATCCACATGTACATAATACAGCAGAGTTACTTATAGGGGAGTTTTTCAGTGGCTGTTGTAAGAATACAACAGGTGTGCTTTAGTGAGCTTCATGACTGGTTAAGATAACTTACACTATCCTCTTAGGAAATCTGATGCAAATCAAAAATACCTAGTAATTACCTGCATATTTGTGTTCCTGTGAGCTCTGACAAGTATCACCAGTATTTACTTCAAGTCGTGAGTGGCTTGTACAGGTGTTAACCTTTGCTCTTAAAAGCAGTTGTGACTCCTTTAGCATTGGTTTTCACACTCAATGAAGACAAATAGATTATTTTAAAATGTAGTTAGAGACTGAAGACCTTTACTCTTCTCCTACCCTATAGGCTGATTTACGGACTAAGATGAAATCCTTAGAGCAGAATTTCCATGCCATAGGAAACCTGAAGGCTCTTCAAAGAAAGGGGGAAAGCTCTGATGATCGAATCTTCAGCACGTGGACTATTGAGGAATTCTGTGAGTGTTCCTCTTTAATTGCTGCACATTTCCTAGATAATTAATTGCAAGAATTTGGTGTTAGATCAAGATAACAACTTTTACCTGATAAGTTTCAGTATTCCTGTTACCTGTTTGCTGGATAATCTATGGGTTGTCTAGGGAGAATTTACATGTTAATCACCTCTGGGAATTAAAGGCACTCAATAATTATTTTTTTCCTCAGGTGATGCATCAAAGATACTTCTTGATTCATATACCAAAGAACTTTCTTTGAAGGAGAGACTAGTAATGGAATTTACTCATTGTAAGAACAGAGATGAACTGATGGTATATCTGTCACTATGGTTACATGAGCCACTCTTAAACGATGAGAATGAATTTCTTCTAGAGAGCATGTTGATTGAAGCTGATTTAAGATAACGTCACAGTCACAAATTCAAAATACACTTTGTGTCATCCTTTTGTGGCTGTCAGAGTATAACAATGTGAGGCACTCTTGATGGACTTGTTGCCATCAAGACTAAGATGCAGGGCTGTAGTCAAGAAATTAGCCTGCCAGCTGAAACTTCAGGAAAGGCAGCTCAGAGATTGCATTCAATAGAAAGTGACTGGAAGTGGGTAACCTCAGAGGTGACTGCCCTTTCAATTGTCCAATCTCACTGGCAGCTAAGGCTTAGAGACAACCCAGATGATGTACAGCTTGTAACTAGATAGTCACACTATGCTTGATATTGTGTGAACCTTTTGAGACTAGAAGCTCAAGAAGGGAATGATGGTGGCAGGGAAGGATATCACACAAAAGATCTTGTGTGGCAATCATATGATGTGGTAGTAATCTTACAGCAACTACTTTTTAAGTATAACAATGACTTGCTTGCAATAAGTCATCAGTCTTTTATGACAGGCAAGAAGTCAATTGCTCAGAAAAAACCCTGATTCACACTCTGTTGTAAGCAGTTTGTGGCAAGAAAAAACGATACTATTGTTTTATGAAGAATCACAAGAGATTAAATTTGGAACTTGTAATGTACTGTGTATGCACCTAGTCTGGTACATTGGTGTTAACCTGTATTGAGGTGCACTGTATTAAGCTGCCACCCAGTATTAAGTGGTTGGTTGTCAAAGTCCCAAAATTTTTACCCTTTTTTCACACCTATTAAGCAGTTGCCTGTATTGAGTGATTGTGTCACCCATTACCGAGTTCCAATGGATGGTTTTTGTTTTCTTTTCCCTATATATCACTTAGGCCTTTAACTTCCATGAGTGACGAAAATAAAAATTTCTCCTTACAATATGAATAGTATATCAACCAGATAAGTAATGAGAATAAAGAATAATATCAATTTGGGGATAATTAGTTGATCCAGTACCAAATTCTCTGAACTAACATCACAAGAATTATATGGCAGGTAGTAAGGAGAATTACTAATGAGATCTTGGGAGTTGAAGGGTTAAAGCAGAACCACTCAAATAGAACTAGGAATTATCTATCAAGTAGAATTTAATCCATATTTATGGTATCTCCTTAAGTCAGTGTTAAACTTGGTAATGTTTTTGAGCAAGTTTTTGTACATGAAGTGATGTTTTTCATTATTTCTTTATAATACCCCTATTTTATGGAACCTGTATTGAGCGGTTACTGCACCATTCCCCACGGGTGACAGCTTAATACAGGTTTGACTCTATTTATTTTCTAAGTGACTGTCTCTCAAATGACACATTCCTCTTTCCATGCCCAGTCCTACTTTATTTCCTTTCAAAAACAATACTACACCATAAGGACTGCTTGATGTCCAGAAGACATAAAGGACAACTGACTGTATCATAAAAGGCTTTTACATTGATTTCCCTCTGTCCCCAAAATTTCTGATTGACTTTTGTTGCTTGCTAGGTGAGGTAATATGACTAAGGAACCACCTAAGAACTCTCAGGAAATTAGCTTGTTTTCCTCGGGCTTCACTGCTCCTTATGCCCATATAATACTTTTCCCCATATACTGCATTTAAAACATGGAAATATTAAAGCCACCCAAGTTGTTCAATTTCCAGGGGTTTTAAAACAAGCCAGCAACCACTAGAGTTTTGTCAGCTTCTTGACAAGATTTTGCCAATTATCCGGTTAAAAAAATTACCTTTTGGCAATTAATGAACTTTTCATAGACACCTACTTTTGCAGAATCTGATGCCCACTTTAAAACATTTTGAAACCTCTGAAATTCAGCAAAAATCAAAGAATTCTGATTTATATGTTCTAATCTGTGTTTAACATTTGCTCAAGGTAACTACTAGGTGTTATTTCAGTAATAAATTAATATAAAAAACTGTAGTGGTTAAATGCAGTCATTTGACTTTGAGTCAGGACCCATTTGTCTTTGTTATGCACATGACACAAAAGTGCAGTGAGTGAAAAAGGCTCCAGAGCCACCTGTATTAGCTACACTTAATTTTTAGATATTAACTGTCCACTGGTCAGATTTGTTTAAAGCTGCAGTAAACCGAACAGAGCATACTCTAAAAAGTCAACTGCATATTCATGATCCCTTGAGCTTAACAGGAGACCATGCTAATTTTTAAGTAAAAGTGTTGGTTCATGACATCCATTCTTAGCCTTTTAACTCCCAAAAGTGATTACCATACAACTGCTCCATATAAAATCCACACTTCATCCAGTAGACAGGTACTGAGAATACTCAAACATATCTTGTAGAAGTTATCTTATATTAACACCAAATTCTCCTCACCAATTTACAATGAAATGTGTAGCAGATGGAGAGGAGAGTTCAAAGGTTAAAGAAAGTTGTCTCCCCTTCTTGTCTCTTGGACCCTTCTGGGTCCAAGGGAAGGTTGCTAATAGGGCAGCATACGGTGAAATTTAACCGTACTAAGAGACAAATGGGTCAAAAATTTCTAAAGGTTACATGCCCATACAATAAATTATTGCAGCCAAAATATTCAACCCTTTTTTTCTTCTTTTTGAGTTTCTTTGTCACTTTCTTTTATACTGGATGATGCCCCTGAAGTAGGGGATCCTCCTGCTCTTTGAAGTAAACTCGATGCTAAGGGGCTTCTACTGCTGCCACTGAGAAGTCGGCTTGACAGGGAGCTGCTAATATTACTAAGGGTGCTGGTGATGCCACTTGTCTGACGACGCGACAGAACTGGTCTTTCAAGGCGTTCCTCTAAAATGGGAGCATTGTCAACAGTTTGTTCTTCACAGGAGGCCCAATCTGGGATCTTGTTATCTTGATTGTATCGTTCCTTAGTTACTGAACGGTCAGCCAGGACTTCAAGAGCACCAAATATCGCACCTGGAAGAACAGTGTTACTCTTAGAGTGATAGTAAAACAGAAAACAGAAATGCCTTGATAATGCTGAGTGTTGGCTTGAATTCAACAAAAGGAGTTGTATTCATCACAAAAATACTGGGATCAATATCAGTATCTGGGCAACTG